TGTAAAATTGGGGTAATATGATCATATTTTCTTGACTTGGCAAGGACTCTAGCCGCTGCATTTTGGACCACCTGTCCAAATGTTGTTGTTTTTTATCAGTCAATGCAGTGAGAATCCTACTGAAGCTTTTACAAATCCTTTGAATGGAAGCACTAGACCAGTCACTAAAGAGTTAATCCATTGGCATTCTCTGCATATCTGCCACCTCATTTCCCGGCATCACCTTCACCATGTTACCCTCTAAGTGACACTCTTTATTTAATCTCATGTTACCCTATTTGTGTATCATTACATTGTCTCTTGTGAAGATAATTTGTGAGCTGCTGTGCTATTGGGAACAAACTGCTTGATTTTCACAATGGCTCTTTGTTTCCACGCATTACTGACATAAATGGGAAGAAAAACCCTCCAGGGTGCTGTCTGCCTTATGAATTCAAGTGTAAAAGTACACTTAAGCATACTTTCCAAAAGAGTATATAAGAATATACTTAAGTGTGAACTGAATGTAATGCTTTTGGACTTTTAATTGCATGTTAACTGCAGTTAAATGAAAATGTGTTTCAGTTGCGATTTATATGAAACGCGTTTAGCTGAACTTTAGAGTGTTTTTGTCCCACTTAAGTAGGACTTAAGTACATCTTTACATGTAATTTTGTAAGGGTTTCTATTGTCTTTGAAATATGGCTAAAATACTGCTGAAGATACTGACAAGCATTTATGGTAAACTAAAATATATTTAATGTCATTTCTATTGAAAATTGTATTTTAATATGTACACATTTGTAATAATGAAGTTGCAGTTCAGTACATTTAAATTATATTAACTTTAATGTCATGCAACACATTTAAATAAAGTACATGTTAGTCAACACATCAAAATAAATGATGAAAGATTATTAAAAGATGATTTAAAATGTATCTTAAAGAAACTTTAAAAGTGTACTTAAGTGTGTTAAGAAATAGCCATGAAAGTGTCTCTCTTTAAGTCATTTAAGTGGACTTTTATTTCATTAATATTAAATGATCTGCAAGTACAGTTTTTAAAAAATATACTTTTAAGATTTGAGGTACACTACACATTCAGTACAGTTAAGTACACAAGTGCATGTTCAGTTAAGCGCACTTCTTTTGCACAAGGGTCCGTAACCAAACCCTTTTATTTCATCTCCATCCAATTGCTGGAGATGATGTAGAGACAACTTTTTAAGACCCAGTCACTTCTTTAAAAAGTTGTAGAGTTGCGTTTCCAGATGATTCAGGCATGCTAGGCGTGTTGTTATGGGGATCTTTAAGTCATTTAAGTGGACTTTTATTTCATTAATATTAAATGATCTGCAAGTACAGTTTTTAAAAAATATACTTTTAAGATTTGAGGTACACTACACATTCAGTACAGTTAAGTACACAAGTGCATGTTCAGTTAAGCGCACTTCTTTTGCACAAGGGTCCGTAACCAAACCCTTTTATTTCATCTCCATCCAATTGCTGGAGATGATGTAGAGACAACTTTTTAAGACCCAGTCACTTCTTTAAAAAGTTATAGAGTTGCGTTTCCAGATGATTCAGGCATGCTAGGCGTGTTGTTATGGGGATTCATTAAATAGAGTTGCTGTTAGATACAGTACTTGTTTAGTATTAAACAGATCTGTAGTCGTAATACATCAAATCCATTTGTGACGTGTCTCATGAAGGGTGTGGTACTGTATGAGTCATGTTCATGTGATCGAAGTGGATTTGCATTGTTTCCTTAGCTTCAGTTTAGACCACAGACCACAGCTCAACCCAGTTACTCAATCACTTCATATGTCATTCATACAGAAATAATGCTTTTGGTTTTGTTAAATAAAGGTTTTGTTGTTGCCTGTTAAATGTATAAAATGTAGAGCCTTCAAACAGCTGGTGGAAAATACAGTACAAGTGAATGCAGTACATTAGATCATTTTGTGGTTAAAATGTAAATTTAAAGAAACTGTTGAAGTAAATTGAAGATAAAGAAACAAACACATTTTTTCTCAAGAAATAATCCTGACCCTTTGAAAAACTTGGCATACTTTGATTACACTGACGAAAGTACTGACAAGCATTTACGGTAAACTAAAATATACTTTAATGGCATTTCAGTTGAAACTTGTTTGTCATGTATTTAAATATCTGTAATTACACATTTATAATGAAGTTAAAATAAAAATGTACTTCACATGTGCTTCAGTTAGTCAACACATCAAATTTAACTTCTTTAAATCACAACGAAAGGTTATTAAAACTGATTTAAAATGTAATTTAAAATAAAACTTAATTTGACACTTTTAAAAGTGTACTTAAGTGTGGTAAGAAACTTAAGTGTGTCATTATAATGTCTCTTAAGTGGCCTTTTATTTAATATGTTATCTGCAAGTACAGTTATTTTTTGAAATATTTACTTTTAACAGTGCACAAGTGCACATTCAATACACTTAAGTGCACTTCCTTTTAAAGAAGGCTTATTATCACACATTGTTTCTGTTGTAGTATAAATTTCTTCACGTCACCTGCAATTGTGAGCTCTTTTCTGTCAATATATATATATATATATAGTAGTCTGTTGTTATTTACCTTTGCATTAGTTCTAATTTAACACCATTGCAACCTAAACATCCTCAAACAGCACAGGTGTCTGCTGGGTAATTCAGTTCCTTTTTTGTGTGTGCGAGAGAGTAAACCTGCTGTGACGTGAACGTAGGCCTGGGCGATAAAACGGTATTGATATTTATCGACGGTAGATATAAAATGTTTTCGATATAGTGCATGATATAGGCACGTGCTATGAGTGACGCAGACAGCACACGCAAACACGAACACAAGCTGAAATGAGTGCTGTGCCTGCCTGTGATGAGATTTTAAATAAAGAATGAATATCAGTCAAATTTAAAATAAACATTTGCAATGTTAGGAGTGCGTCAGGGAGCGTCACTCATCAGTGGCGCACGAGATGCAGTGATGATGATGTAAGTGACGTTGTAGTTTAATGTATTTTTATTTTGTGTTTGATTGTTAAAACAAAAAATATTTGTTGTTTGTCTCAATAAATTGGGTTAATTTAAAAATACAGTGGTTAAATTTAAAAATGTTTTTTCAATTGCTCTGTTTTAAAAAAAAAAATTAAATAATTATCGATACCGAACGATATGAAACATTATATCGTTGATGCATTTTTTAGCTATATCGCCCAGCCCTACGTGAACGCTTCTCCTACTCTCCGTTCCTCATTTCTCACAGAAACGCCATGCTTGTCCACATGCACACTCACGTTTAGTGTAGTTAAACTGTTTGGAGTGGATACACTGAAGCTGAAGCAGTCATGTACAAACGTCTTGCTGTTTTGCCGAGGAACTGCAGTGTTACCGAGATCTTTTCTGTATTTGGAGTAAATAAAGGTAAAGATGTGTTTTTCTCATTCTTTTCTAGACTATAACCGAGCGCAGCAGCAGCTTTGAGATGGTCACCGTTTGTGATTTATGTAATTGTAATGTAAAGCTAGAATTGTGTTTTAATGATTTGATGTTTTGTTTTTCAAACAGCTGCCACCAGTACAAAATGAGCCCAAGAGAAGATGCCCCTGCAGACCGGTACGTTCTTCATTGTGGATTACATTTTTTACCTTCTAAACACAGAACTCTCTCAAACTAAAGGACGGATGTGATTGCAGTGAAGCACAATGATATGTGGCTTTGAAGAAGGGCAGAGATTGGGTTTAATTGCTCTGAAAGCACACAGTGAGTCAACAGAACAGACTGTAATCAAGCTAATAGCTTTCCGCCATTGCCTGGAGCGTTCATTTTGTTTTAAAATTTTTTTTTTGTGAAGGTAGGGGCTTTTGAAGCCTTTAAAGTGTCTCGAGTTTACTTTTCAAAATGAAAAAAAGAGAAAAAAATAATCTTAAATCATGTAAAAAAAAAAAAACAATACATTGGCAATAGACAGTCGGAGTCAATTAGAAAGATTAACTCATGAATAAATAAAGTTAAGATTTATTAAAAATGACAATGTGTAAGCAGCCTGTAAATAGTTTGTAACCAGTGTTGCTATTGTTAACTAAAACTATTACAAATGTTAAAATTTATAAAATATACAAATTTTGTTTTACAATTTTTGGTGCTTGAAATAAAGCTGAAATAAAATATAAATATTAGATATGGGGGGAAAAAAATTAAACGAATGTTTGAAATGTTGCCTTGGCAGCTAATTGAAATTAAATTACTAAAACTGAAACACATTAAAATAAAGCTAAATAAAAAATATATAAAAAAAAACCCTAATCACAATAACAAAAGCATACAACAAAATTAAACTAAAATTAAAATGAAAAATATAAACAAAGGCCAATTCAAAGTATTTTTAAAAACTGTAACATTAACTAAAATAACACTAACTAGGGATGCAAAGACAGTATATCAGCATCATTTATTAATTCTTTCATCCTGTATTTAGTTGTATATACTGATCATTTATGAATGCTAAATGGGGTGAGTTGATATGAATATAACATAGAAGGGCTGTGTGTATTTCTACATACAGTAAAAATTCATTTCTAATGATAATATTACTACTACTAATAATGTTTTATTGTTGTAGTTTGACTCATAAGGGTATGGATACTTCAAATATTTTATGACTAGATAATAGCATAGATAGATACAAAGTTCCCTGCTTTTACTCTCATAATCGCATATTCTTGAAAATAATATTTTCATATTCTGCTTCCCTAAAATGTCATGATCTCACATGAACAGGCTGCTGACTGTGGTCTTCTCTCTTCTCTCTAGCGGCTTCTTCGTCGGGATCATATTCTTCATCCTTGGCCTGGGAACGCTGTTGCCATGGAACTTCTTCATGACGGCATCTATGGTAACGGAATGCGGAAAACATTCCAAATATGGGGGTTAAACCCAGCGCTGGTCAAATGGGAATAACACAGGATGTTCTCAGAAGATCAGCTCAGTTGTTTCCATTTTTAAAGGCACTTTAAGCTGAGAGAAATTCCTGTAGCGCTTCATTGATCTCGTTTCGATCTGAATTCTCCAATACGTTCACTAATTAGTTTGCTACAGTAGTTGGCTAACAGCCAGGACTGAACCGATTAGCCTAGAGTTTTATCTTCTATTCTTGCACTCGCGATTTTATTTTTTTTTAAGCAATGAAAGTTAGTTAGTAGAATAGTCTTGTTTGAGACGCATTTAAGTTTAAACCACAAAACAAAATACAATTACACTGCAAAAAATGGCTTATCTTACTTAGTATTTTTCTTGTTTCTAGTCAAAATATCTAAAAAAAAATTCTTAAATCAAGATACTTTTACTAGATAAGCCAATTATTTAATCTTGTTTCCAGGTGAAAAAAAACTAAATTAAGTGCATTTTGCTTAAAACAAGAGCATTTTACTTACGCCACTGGCAGATATTTTTACTTGTTTTAAGCAAAATGCACTTAATTTAGTTTTTTTTTCACCTGGAAACAAGATTAGATAATTGGCTTATCTAGTAAAAGTATCTTGATTTAAGATTTTTTTTTAGATATTTTGACTAGAAACAAGAAAAATACTAAGTAAGATAAGCCATTTTTTGCAGTGAAACTGCACATTTTTAATTATTCACATTATTTTTATATATATATATATATATATATGTGTGTATATGTATGTGTAGGCCACCTTACTTGATGGGTCATCTGCATCGACCATCAATAAAAATCGATGTCAGTCGACCACTAGTATTGAATTTTCCAGGCCATAGTGTTGCGTTTGATTATATTGCGGTGTTAAAATGGCTTGTTTATTGCCTCTAAAATCATTTTTGTTTTTTACAGTATTTCAACAACAGACTCAACACGTCTGAATGGAGTAATGGAACAGTAACCACCAGGAAGGAGTATTATTTCAATAACTGGATGACTCTGCTGTCCCAGCTGCCTTTGCTGCTCTTCACTTTGCTCAACTCTTTTCTCTATCACTGGTGAGAACTGTTTGTTTGTTTGTTTTTTGACGTATGGGCTTGACTCGTAGTTATGAAATGCATTCTAAATGTGTAATACATATAACATTTGCAACTAGTAATATGCACCTGATCATTTGTGTTCCAGGATCTCGGAGAAGATGAGGATAGCAGGCAGTCTGGTCTTCATCCTGCTCCTCTTCATCCTCACTGCTGTGCTGGTGAAGATCCCGATGGAGGAGGACCGCTTCTTCTCCGTCACCATGGCAACCATCTGGTTTATCAATTGTTAGCGACTAGAGAAACCTCAACATTGTTTAGCAGCACTCATATGCATATAGTATACTGTATGCATGTTAGGGCTGGACGATATGGCCAAAATTTATATCGCGATATACTTCTTAATTTCGGTCGATACGATACAATTCTGATACCGATACGAAAACTATTTAAAAAAAAAAAGCCTCATAAAAACGGCCAAGAACGCCCACAACAGATGTCTGTACCTAAACAATTGTGAAAAATGAATTTTCCAAGTCTATGAAACCTCCTCCTATAAAACTATAAAATATTTAAGAAAAAAAAAACAGCACAAATAAATTAATGTTTGTTTTTTTTAAAGAATTCTCTTCTGCTCACCAAGCCTGCATTTATTTGAAAAATGCAGCAAAACAATGACATTCTGAATTTTTTTTTTACTATTTAAAATAACTTTTCTATTTTGAAATGTTTTAAAATGTGATTTATTCCTGTGATTTCAAAGTCTTCAGTGTCACATGATCTTCAGAAATCATCCTAATATGCTGCTTTGCTGCTCGAGAAACATTTATGTTGAAAACAAATGAGTAGGTTTTTTTTCACGTTTCTTTGATGAATAGAAAGTTCAGAAGAACAGCATTTATCTGAAATAGAAATCTTTTGTAACATTATAATCTTTTTGATCAGTTTAAAGCATCCTTGCTAAATAAAAGCATTATAAATAAAATAAAATTGCAGCGCTAAATAACATTTCTATAATTTCCAAAGAAAAAATTATACTGACTCCAAGCTTTTGAATGGAATAGTGTATAATGTTATAAAAGCTTTTTATTTCAGATAAATGCTGATCTTTCTATTCATCAAAGAATCCTGAAAAAAAAATATTCCCAACTGTTTTAAATATTGATAATCAGCAAATCAGCATATTAGAATGATTTCTGAAGATTTAAAATAACTGCTTTCAAATAGAAAGCAGTTATTTTAAATAGTAAAAATAATTCAGAATTTTCCAGTTTTTGCTGTACTTTGGATCAAATAAATGCAGGCTTGGTGAGCAGAAGAGACTACTTTAAAAAAAAAAAAAAACATTAAAAATCTTACTGTTTAAAAAACCTTTGACTGGTAGTGTAGGCTGATTATTCTTATAGATTGAAACAAATGTGCGTCAGCCAGGATAAAGAATATAAAAAGTGCTCTGAGTTGCTGCAGAAAACAAAACAACTGAACAACAACAAAAACATGTTGCTGGAGGCGGGATTATTATTGAAAATGCAAACTCATTGTCGCCAGCAGGGGACGCTTTTAGAGCGATAGAACTAGCGGTTTCCCCCGGTAACGGCTGTAATCAAAGCAGCTCCGCTCACTAACGCTACTTTATCAGATAAAAATGAAAATGTCATCGAGACACTGGTAATGTATATCGAAATATCGGAAATGTGTTTAAAAATCATATCACCGTTATTGAAAAAAATTATATCGCAGTACATATTGATATTGAATTATTGTCCAGCCCTAATGCATGTGTGTTCAAGTATGCATTAAATTGATCAAAAGTAAAACAGTAAAGACATAATGTTATAAAAGATTTCTATTTCAAATAAGTGCTGTTCTTTTGAACTTTCTAGTGTGTGTGTGTGTGTGTGCAGGAGTTTGCTAGATTTTACCTGGACAGAAAAAGCAAGAGTTGCGAGCTTGAGACGTCCAACCGGCTGCTGCCTACAGGTGAAACTTAGTCTATAAACTCACAGATATTGGACTGTCATTTCACTAGAGTTAAGAGCAGTGTAGCTTGTTCAGTGTTCAGTCGCAAGAGAACACTTCTTTTGAACGTGAAAAAGAGGTACACTTTAGCATACTTGACATGAACTGAATGTAATGTTTTCAGACACTTAATTGCATGTTAATTGAAATTGAATGAAAATGTAACAGCTTTGATCACAGAAATAAATTACATTTTAACAGATATTCACTGATGATAACTGATGTTGATGGTATATTAACTTATAAGAATATAAAAAAATATATAATATTGAATAACCAACTACGGTTAAAATTATAATCAAGTACTTTACATGTGCTTTAGTATGTTACTCAACACATGAAAATACGTGTACTTTAAAACATAAAACATTATTAAAACATGATATAAAATGTTTGTTTTGTTTTTTTTAAGTAAAAAACTTTTAATTAAACATTATTGCTAAGTGTTTAAAAGTGTACTTAAGTGTGTTAAACAGTCATGAAAATGTCTCTCTTTAAGTCACTTAAGTGTCCTTTTTTATTTCATTGTTGTATTATATTATCTGCAAGTATGTTTTTTGTTTAAATATACTTGTATGATTTGAAATACACTACAAGTGTACATTCAATACAGTTAAGTGCACTTATTTTATTTGACGGTGACTCTGTTCCTCCAGGTGATGTTGAAGGCTCTGAGAAGACCAGCGATCTGTCTGTTGGCTCTGTGCCGAACGGGAATCCTAATAAAGGTGATAGCGGTGTGAGTGAAGAGGAGGGTGTCAGACAGGCCTTCATCCCGCTGCAGTCAGAAAACACGTCCACGCAGAAGAGCTCCATCCTGGAAGTCTTCAAAAAGGTGCCGTTATATTTTACCAATCAAAGTCAAGTCACCTTTATTTATATAGCGCTTTATACAATACTGGTTGTGTCAAAGCAGCTTTACAGCGTCAAACATAGTGTGGCGATAATGTTGGAGGACAATAGAAATCAGGCAGTTTATCAGTTAAAGTCAGTTCGTTGTTGATTCAGTGACGTCATCAAATGTCATACACCATGTGGTCTGGATATGGACTGGATCTGGTGGCTACGGTGACCTCGGAATAAGAA